AGATAAATATTCCATTACTTCAAACAAGTATCTCGAGATTTTATTCGCAAAACGGTGCCTGTATATTCTATAAATAATCATAAGAAAACAATATCTTAAAACATAAGTTCAGAGATGCTTAATTCGAAGGTTCGTACAAAATTAAGAAAAAAGTACCTATTGATTTCTATATCCCAGTTTACTAAACATTTTCTGTCAATTAGACGTTTATACATTACATTAAAATAAGATGAAGTAACATATACTTCTTAGCGAATATTTCCTTAAATATTTAACAAAATACATCTAAAATAAAAATTTCATGTTACAAATGGAAAAATAAATATGATAACAAAAAGAATCGTTTGAATACTTGTATTACCATTCTCAATAACTTCGTACAAAACTAACACTTCAAATATAACAATATCGTATTTTTCAAAGCCCACCAGTATAAATGAACTCTTCAGGATACAAGCTTCCCGAGTTACAGTTTTATGTAGTTCTCAGATTACTTGTTCCATTCAAATAGAGTCCGCTACAGCACCAGGGTGTTTTTGAGGACGTCGGTAATTCAAAACCGTCAAGAGAAAATCCCATCATGCGTCATGTTATCAGCTCAGTCGGTACTCGTACCATGCGTTGGTCTCTGATGCTGAAATAATGTGCTATTTGATCATGTGAATCGTACTACGCGATTACCGACGCGATATAGGATAGACTGGACATGCAATGTAAATTTTTGGCCCACGGTCGGGTGGTTGCGTGACTCCCTTATCGTTCCCGTGACACTTACAATGTTACCAACAGAGTATAAGTAAATACAAATAAATAAAGAAAAACCTGTCCTTTTTTATTTTTTTGTTACAATATTAAATTTTTCTGTATACTCGTAATTACTTACAGACACTTATCAAACTATTAAACATTATTCACAATTTTAAACTGCAATACAATATGTATACTGAAAATGTACATAATTTCCTCGCACAATATAATCGACGAAGTTCTTAGCGTTTATCGAACAATTAATTTCTATATCTGGAAAAATCAGAGCTGTTGTACCAGAGGAATTTTGAAAATTATTTTTTATGTAATTTTTAATTATTAATCTGCAAAGTGTATATTTCGTAACGTAAATAAATACCATCTAACAATTTTCCTCGCCTTCGAGCTCGACAAGTTAACGATTTTCCGTTTATTTTAATTATGCACCGAAATAGTGAACATACTGAAAAGTATACAGGTTAAACAACTCTCTCCATTATCCACGAAAAATGTAAATATTGTTTAAATACTTATCTGCCGATGATTGCATATTTCACATTTAAATTACAAAATTATCACAGCCAATTGGCCTACCATAATACTTTTACAAAAAATATTGTAATAAGGAAAATGGTAGTTGCTCAGGTGTCACTACGTGGAGGTTGCTGCGAATAGAGACCCAGGGAGGATGGAAATTGAATTCCATCGACCTCCTTTTCTAATTCTAAATCTTATTGTTAACGCATTTATTGTTATCGCATTTATTACTAACGCACTTAATAATTACGCACGGCAGCCGATCGATGTCTTCTTTCACAAGCTTAATTCTAACTTAGTTTTACCTTAACGGATAATTTAAATTACACAAAAAAATAAAACGAGGGTTACGCGAAGCGAAACGAAATCAAACCAGTCAGACCACAGTGCCGAGTTACAATGCTCCCTCCCCTATGGATCAAAGGATAATGTCCACCAGCACCAGCGTTTCTCTGTTAACTTCTCAACGCTCTGCCCTCAGAAAGAAGCGCAGACGAATTACGAGAAAGCAGGAGCTTCGTGACAATTATGGCTTCGATGGACACAGGCGAACCGATCGCCCTTCCCACGGAATGCATATCGGTAACATAGTACCGATCCGGACCCCACCATCGTAATCTAATGTCGATCGTCGATCACATCGATGTACGAGAACAGTAGAACTGACTGATCTAACAAACGGCCCGAATCACTTGCATACATGGCTAAGTGAATCGGAGTAAAGAAAGAAACAAACGAAATGTGTAAATTAAACTAAAAAACTGGAACTATTTTGACATGGATCGTACAATTTCGTAGCCGATCGGCCCAGCACTATCCTCCATAGAAACTACTCTATCGGCGATAGTGCTGGTTTCCAGGTCCACGACGAGGATTTTCTGATTTTCTTTAAAAAATGACTCGAATTATTTAGAAAAATGATTCTAATCTTTTACAATTAAGAACGTATTTTAATGCCGAAACGTATTGCTCTTCAAAGAAAAAAGAAGTAAAGCACATTGAAATATCATAAAAATGGCACTGAGCAACATTTTAATCAAAATTTGAATAATCTAATTTGAATAAATGGAAAATATTTAAAGAACCTAAGGTAACACCTTCGTCGAAACGAGCGTTTTTAAAACGGAAGAAAGAATTTTTCAATAGTATTATTTCGACTCGTATGTCTACCTAAACGAATCGTTTTCTTGTGCGTTACTCTAGTATTACATTTACGCAATTAAATGAACTTTAATGTAAACAAACGATAATATTAATCTTTGGAATCCTAGTCGAAGTTTGAGAATAAAAAACCAGAGACAGAACACTGATTTACTGATTTGCTGTATTTACTAATAATAGTCTCATTATGTTGCTTCGAATCTGTAAGAATGGAATCTTCCAATGAAACAAAATTTCAGTCCATACACGTAATCGACTGCTTAATAGCTGGCAATCAACAATTTTACCATGAGATCCGATACATATATTACACGCATGCATGTGTGTTTTTAACTTGCAACGTTTGTTGATTTTGCCAACTTCAATCATCGGTTCGAATGTAATTCTTAAACTTGCCACTTGTAATCGTAGAGGGCATATCAAAACGTCTGCTTTTTTTACACAATTGGTATTTCAATGACTTTTTTAAAAGAAACCTAATAAACATATCGATTCTAAATTGTATAGACTGATTAATGAGCATATCAAAAATATGTAACATTTATTTTAAATACAAATATTAACTAAATCTATAGCGATATAACAAAAGTATTAATCTTAACAGAAGGTAAATACTATTTTAATCCTACTCTAACAGCTTGTTTGTTCTAAAAGTGTTCAAGGTTCTCATCATTCTATCTCCTACAAAAGTTGACTGAACTTGAAGCATTTTTCAAACCATGTAAAATCGAAGGAATTCAAAACAGTTTGAAGAATACTGTTTAAAGAATAATTTAACAAATTGCCCTTCACAGTTTCTAAATGAACTCACGGAGAGTTGCTCAGCATGTATGAGATTCTTTCTTTCTGGCTAATGAAAAATTGACGGACACAATTCATGCAGCAGCCTATTAGTAACTAAACCAGGGTACGATGTCAATGATTCTGTTTCGAAATAAAGTTGCACCGTATGATACGCACATCAAGTTTTTGTAGCATGCAATCTATAAATAAGCAGAAGTTATAACAGACGTCATATTTGTTTTATTATTTATTATTACATTGATTGCAAAAGTATAAATTCAATCTGCTTACACGTATTATATTATAAACATGAACATTTTCAGTAAAAAAATATTCAATAAACTAGCTAGTAAATTCAAGACTTATTGCTTCAATAATAAATGTATTTTATCTTATTTATTTATTCAACAAACTCGGATGTGATTTATGTGTGATATTGAAAACAGATATTTGAAACGACAT